TGACAATGAGTTATTAGAAAGTTTCTACTTTAATTTTAATTTTTTAATGCCAGTAAATTTGGTAGTCTGTAGTTTTCCAAATATTCCAAACAACATTAAAAAAAATTTATATTTTTGTCATGTATTGTCTATGTTAAAATACCTAATTGTGTGCAGTGTTGATCCTTTATAAGTGTTTGTACAAAAGATCATCTTCCTCACTGTGTCTCTCCCCTGGACGATAATAGTTGAAGATTTATTTAACATCCTGAATTTTTTTTATTTTTTTTTTTATCTCATTCCAGTTTGTTGTAGGATCATATGGAGATGTTGAATACACTTTTTTATTTTTCCATCTCTACCCTTACAACCATTGAAGATGATAGCTTTCTTATTAATAATTACAGTTTTCTGATAACATTGAATAACTCTTTTTAACAATACAAAGTGGAGTAGCACTTTATTCTTATCTGAACTAGTTTGTGTCTTTTGGTGTTCCTATGCTATATCTTTTTTTTTTTTTTTAATAAAGTGAGGCTTTGAATTTCTTGAATATGTTTCATTGTGATAAAATAGTTATTCTGTCTTATAACATGTTAGAGCTTCTAGGTTTTGCCTAAATTACCTTGCATAATTGATACAAAATTTATTCTTTTTTAAATTTTCAATAGTTAGTTATTATGGCTCAATTTTTACATCTTTAAAATTTGTTTCTTTATCATATCTACTTTAATGCTCTATCTGTATTCCTATCTGGCATGGGAATGCTGCTTCAAATTTTTGGCTTAGTCCTCATTTGTAAGCAAGTCTTATCTATTTTCAAAGATAGAAATTTTCAAAAAATTTCTATAACTTTTTCTTGTTAGATTTACTTAATACCACAGAACTAGAATAAAGAGAATAAACACATTTATTTTTTACTATTGAATTTTTAACAATCTCTTGAGCTATATGTAGTAATGTTTCTTGGTGTTTGGCACATTTCATTGAAACTGTACAGTAAAGTTATGGATACCATTTTATCAAAATTAATAGGCATCAAAAGGATAATTATAACAAACTAAACTCTAGTTTATTTACTTCTTGACCCATCTTCAAGAAGTTCGTGGTAAATAAAATTTAATTTATGAAAACCCTATCATTAAATCTCCCTGAAAAAATATTTTAATATAGTTATCACATACAATTTTCAAGCCAAGCAGACACAAATTTTATTTGAAAAATATTTTAATTATGACAAATGAAATGAAAATTTAAGAAAACGAATGTCAAGAAAAGTTGATAACATAGAAATAAAATTTTGCCAAGTTTTATTTGACTTATATTATGTCTTCAATACATCTCAGAGATTTTCTAAATAACTTGATTAGCTAGTTTAATATTTTTTTCATTTTGTAATCCGGTATATATATTTTTTGTATATAATATTCTCTTTTTGGCTATATGGATTTTTTAACATTACAGAAGGGAGCACATTATTTTTTTTTTAGTGTGTTTATGATACATTTTTTTTGTGATGTATTATCTGCATGATTTTATATGCATATATATATATATATATATATGATATAATTCTTCTTTTTTGTTTAGTATTTTAATTTGAAATGAGCATGTTGCATCAAAATGAGTTTTATTTTTATATCTTTTCTATTTATACTTCTTTTAATTTATTTATTTTCGTAAGATGCATAAGTTGTGTATACTTGCTTAATCTTAGCACTTCATAAGATTTTCGTGATGCAATGAATTTGCAGTGTCTTGAAATTAAATGATGTATTAACATGAATAACAAAGTGTTTTTATGCTGGAGTTTGTTTATGAGTAACAATTTTGGACTTTTCATCTTTGCATAAACTGGCTTTTAATTTTGTGAAGTGGTACAGCATGGTATGCATGTCATCGACATTAGCTTCTTCAGGTAAGATGTTTTTTCATTATTTGTTTATTAACTATATATTAATCATAATACTGCTCAATACTGCTATTAGTTGTTATTTTTAAACATTTTGTTATTACGAGAGAGGTTTAAAATTAAAAAATTAAACTAATAAAACAATTTAATAACTCTGTATTAATATTAATATCTTCAATGTTTTTTAAGTTTCATGTACCATAGGTGCATTTATCTAGTATATAGATGCTACTCTTTAAAAAAGTATCATTTACAAATTTAGATAGTTTGTTCGAATGCAAATAATATTCAGTGAGAAATTAGTCTGTTTTATTACTTTTTTCTTATTACTTATTGATTAATTTTATAGAGAAATCATACTTCAAGAATTTCTCAATCACACAACACTTGAGTGTGATCTACATACTTTTACCTCCACCGATTTGGAAACATGGAGATTCCTGGTTCATAAAAAGTTTTAGGGCGAGTTAGCCAAATGCCCTCTTGCTCCTCGACTTCTTCATGCTTATGAATTTTCACGACCGATAAAAAAAAAAAAAAAAAATATTCAACGTGTTCTGACGGGGCTATATGAAGGGTGTTTAAGGGTATATTAGTCCATTCTTAAACTTTATCCCTTCTTCAGATCGTGGAATGAGGTAGAGTGTGGTCATGGTTAAGGATAAGATCTTAAACAGATATACTTCATATTTAGTTTAGCTGGGCAGTTTTTCAGACTGTAATAACTGGCTGCAGTAAGCTGAATATACCAGCTTATTGATGTTGAAGGAAATCAATGAGTAAAACTTGGCTTGATTAAAAAAAAGATTGCAATACCTTTTCTTACTGAGAAATAAGTTTTTGCCTTCTCTGGGTAGTTTTCGTTTATAAATGTTTAAAAAATAAATACCGTTTATATTTAATTCTCCTCCCCTAACTAAATTCCAATAAAAAATGTTTTTTCTTAAATACATATTATAAAAGTTACATAAATGAAAACAAAAATATTTAGATAAACAAGTACAATAAACTGTAAATGAAATAAATATTATCTAATAATTAAGGAAACAATTAAAAATATTTTTTTTTTAATTTAACTAACATGCTATAAATCATTTTTCCAAATTTAAAAAAAAAAATAGAATAAATATAAACAGTACAAATTTGGAGTTGTGCAGCTTTTTTTCTAATGAGATGTTGTCTGGACTGTTTGGTACAAATTTAAAATTGATTTATGAAGCTTGAAAATTGTTATAATTATAATTAGCTGCATGCCGTTTTTATTAATAAAAAAAAAACTGCATGAGCTGTTTCTTACAAAGTTTACAGTTTTTGTACATTAGACTCAACTTTAGTATGTAAATAAATTATAAATAATTCATTAAGATATGGTATATGTAGCACGATTGGTATATATCAAAAAATTAAATAAAAAAATAGACATATTGAAAATATAAATTGCATACTTTGGTCAAAACAGTATTTAATAGAATTATTTTATTTTCAGTTAAATGTTTGTTTGAATTTTTTATTTACTAACATAACCTACTATTTGTCAAGATATTGATAAAGCAGTTTAGTTGATTCATGTTCGAATTACATTTTTGTAATTCAAATGATCCAAATTATCACTTTTAGAGTTACTGTTTTGATTAAGGTATGTAACAGATATATAAAAATACCTTTGATACCTACATTGAAATTTAAATCAGTTAAATGCATTCAAATTCAATTTTTAAAAAATTGATAGTAGGTATGTTATTAAATTTATAAAAATAAATGTAAAAAAATATTTTTAAAAGTTAAAGGTAAAAATATCTTATAGCCCGGCTCAGATTTTGTTTTTAAAGACTAAATACCTACTTACATTTTTATATTAATGCATTATTAACACCCTTATGGTTCTGGATTGATTTTATATAAATTTTGAAATTGAAATCATCAATTAAAGGCTGTAACATATAATTCTAAGGGATGAAAGAAGGAATGAAGTTGTAAAACCAAGATAAGAAAAGTAGAATGCATGAGGTTGAGGAAAATATGTCTTATAATTTTACCTCTATTCTTTCTGCTTTATTCTTCTGAGAAGCTACACGAAGTTGTATTCTATTCTTTTGGTCAATTATTTTGATAATCTCATCAATCATTACTATTTTATTTTTTTTTTAATCAGCTAAAAGATGATGTACTATTAACTTTTGTATGCTAGAAATATTTTTTCATAATTGCGTTACAATGTTCATATTGTTTGTAAAAAAATTAATGCTCATAATTTCTAGTTAAAGAAAATCGTTAAGGAAAAATTTTAATAAGATCATCAATCTTTGAATAATAAAAAAATACTGACATTAGACAGATTGCTAATAAAACTTCTATATCTCAAGTATAATGGGGAAGTTAATAACCAATAAGATTCATTCAAAATTTAAGACATTCGCTTTTAACTTTTATGTATGGTATACATTAGATTAAAATGTTTTTATGTTTTATGATTACCTTAATTTTTCAAACTTTTTTTTTTTGTTTCAGTGAGCGCCCAGTACTGAAATTAGAGTGGCTCGACTGTTGATATTATATCCTTAGTTCACAGAAAATTCAAACATTAAAAAAAAATTATGTTAAGTCATTTGTCATGGCGCTTTTTAATGGTTAATACTTGTAATATTCAGTGTCAATTGTATAATGTTTTTAGTCTGAAGTATTTGTTATTTTGTAATTTAATTACATGTTTATGAAATAAAGTTTTATTACTATTACTCTTTGTTTTCTTTAAATCGTATTGTTTTATTATTATTTATTTATTTATTTTTAGTAAAAATTATTATTTATTTATTTATATTGATTAATTAGCCTCATTTTTATTAATTATAAAAATTGCGGTTAGTGTTTTCACAGATGATGCTGGTGATAATACCAATTGAATACAACAAAAATTTAATTTTTTTTATTTTTTTTTATCATTATTTTTTCCTATTAATCAATGTATTCATTATATTATGTTATGTTTATTTATTTTTCTAATTTTCGTGAATGGAAAATAACACTTATCAGGTAGAGTTTCATTGAAATATTTGTTTCCTCTGTTTCTTTTTGTAAACATTCTTTAATCGTTTTTATTTTATTTTTTAAGGAATTACCTGCAGCAACATTGTGTGCATACTGTGACAGCAAAGTTTACCCACTCGAAAGAATAGAGACAAATGGAAAGATTTTTCACAAAGGTTGTTTCCGTTGCTCATATTGCAATTGCATTCTGAGGTAATAATTCAATTTATAATTGGGTCTTTTTCTATATTTTAATGCTAAACATTTTTTTATTTTTTATACATTCTGTGGATCATTAATGATTTCCACTCATTACTTATTTTAACTTATATATTTAAAATAACATATTTATTTTACTGTTTTTAAAATCTAATCATTTGGGTCTAGAAGGTAGGAGGAGGTAAGATAAAGGATAACATTAGGTATTTCTATCCACTTCACAGTGGTATTAGAATTTACACACTTTTTGGGTATGGGTAAACATACTTTACATACTACATAAGCAAGGTATTTTTAATTTTTAGAAATTTGTTATATACTTTTTTTTATTTCACACCAGTCTATGATTTTTTTAACTTCAACATGGGATTATGAAAAAAAAAAAAATTTCTTATTGAATTCAAATAGTTTTTACAGTTTATATTATTATTACTTTTTTTCTAGGATGGATACTTACACTCTCAATAACGGTCATCTTTATTGTCTTCCACACTTCAAACAGTTATTTATTTCTAAAGGAAATTATGATGAAGGATTTGGCACTGATCAACATAAGAGAAAATGGGAACATCCGGTGAATGGAAATACGAGCAGTTGAACGAGATGCCGTTGATGTTCTTCTTTCCCTTATATTTACATATTTAAAATTATAAATATATATTTATACTTTTTATTATTTACTTGTGTTCTACCATTTTGAGCACTGTCGGAAAGTATTTATTGGTCTGCATTAGTTTGAAGCCTGAGATGCTTTTAACTATGTGATAATTATATATTGTTAAGAAGTGAGAAATAGTTATTATAAAATCTAGTTTAGCATTTGTTATAACTTTACCAAATGTATACTTTATTGTCAGCATAAGAAACCATAATCAAAGTTCTCCTAATGTGCCACCATATTTACCAGTTATTATCAGTTAATTAATGTTTATTATCTATTAATGTGTGATATATACTATTGGAAGTTTTTCATTTTTTAATGTGCTGATTATCATTCTTATTATTATTATGTATATTTCATTTTAAAACTATTTTTATATTTTAAATTATCATCTGAGTGGCATCCAATGTTAGCAATGAATGAAATTTTGTTGTAAATATGTTTAAGAGTTATTGTAAATACAGCTGATACTGTACAAATAATGCAAAAATATTGAAATATTATTTTAAGGATTCTGGTATTCTTGTTTCCTCCCCTTTTTTTATATTACTTTTTTCTTCAGATGTCTATTTTCATATTTTCTGAGTTTTTATAGCTTTTGTCTAGTAAATGACTAATAATTTGACTATCTGCCTTCTTTTACTATGCTATTCCTTAGATTTTAGTTTCATTTTTTTATCTTATAAAATACTATTTACGTTATTATATGTGCTGAATACTTTTTTTTTTATATATATATATAAATATATCTACAGAGAATGTTCATTTTGTCATTATTTTCTATGCAAGAAAAAATTTATTTAGTGTAAAGTTAATGTTTTCTTGATATCTAATTTTGCAATAAATTAATATTTAAAGTTTTCTTTCTTTTTTCTTCCCATATTATCAATATATTTGTCCAATGTAGAAACTATTTCAACACAACAAAGTCGAGATTTTGATTAAATTTTACATTACTTGATCTAATTTTATTCTATTCCACAGAACAGTTCAAATCGAGTAAAGTTGACTCCATAACGTTTTTGTTCTTAACCTGATTCCATTCATTATTCCTAGAAATTTTGTTTTTAGTCTTACAAAATTATTTGTTGTCATTATGCATAATTCTACCTAGTTTGTTTTCATCCTATTAACATTGCTATTCAGGTTTTTCTATTTAATATTGAAGGGTGATGTATAGAGTACCTTAATTAGTACTGACCATATATTTTGTAACCTAATGAGGTGATTGTACTTGTGATCTACATAAGCGAGTTCTGACTTTGTAGCCATATGATATATCAAAGGGATAATAACTGATCGGAATATAAGTAGAAGTTCTTCACTCATTCATAGTTTCTCTTGTTATTTTAAAGTAGATTACATTTTCAGTGCTTTATAGTAAAAATGTATTGTTTTGGTTTGATAGCAGTCAGGTTTTGATAAGTTATGCCATGATAAGGATAATGATTGCTTTCCAACCTTAAAGTTTTGCTCCTAACTTTTTTTACTTTCACTTACGTATATATGTAATATATAGTAAGTGTAGGTATTGCGATCGAGAAAATTTTTGAATCTGAGTTTTCGACGGATTTATACGTTTTGAGGTACTCTGAGTCGAAATGACCAAGTCCCGAAAAATGGTCTGTGTGTCTGTGTGTTTGTATGTTAGCAGTCTAGCTCAAAAACGAAAAGTCCTATGAAACTGATATCACGTATTTAAGATAGGTATATGCCTTAGTTGTGATGGCAACTTTTTCCTTAAAATCGGCTAACCGGAAGTGCCACTTTATATCAACGCTGAAACACATTTTTTTATGTTAATTTCCAACTTGACTTTACTGTAAAAATACGTAACAGATTATCTAATATAAAACTTATTTAAGAAGTTCCAAAGGACAATGTACTGGAACCATTGATTTTCCATATCTTCACATCAGACTTACCCGAGCATGACCAGAATTTATTGGCTATATTTGCTGATGACACAGCACTCCTCACATACCTCAAAAATATCTTTATGTTTAACCCTTTAAAAACATCTCAAAAATACTGGGCTACCAAGTGGAAGTGAATATGAGGAGTTCATTGTCTTTTAACACTTTCACGAATTGTGCCATTCGGTATATATTTTCTATGTTCCATTTTCTACATCAGAAAGATCAGACCCACACCAGACTGAAAAGAAAACAACTGAACAATTTAAATTGTTATCAAGGTTATTAGAAATTTACTCCAAATTATCAACAACGAACAGACTTACCCTCTATAAAGTAATAATAATGATAATGACCTTTAGTGGTTGACGCCTTTAAATATATTAAAGTTCCAGTAAAAGCAGAAAAATTGGTTTCTAAAAAAATCTCAAACAACTACAGAATTCAGAGCTTTCAGTCAAAAATATTGTAAAAAAAAAGCAAATTCACCATTTTATTTAATAATTTACTTGCTATACAAGGATTTTGACATCAAAAAAGTATCAGAAGCTGCTACAGAATACCACAAAAACTTCCACCGCAGACTGACAACATGAGCTCTTAAGTTCTAACTTTATCCTCCACCATGAGAACATGTCTACATGGATGACTTTTAACCATTCTCAGGATCGGTGCAGATTTATTTCTTGTTGATGGTATATAACACTGTCAAATTGTATATATTTTATACAATAATAGAATATAATACTAAAAGTTATATGAAAGTGTAACAATTTATTAAATGTTGCACAAATTGTTTTGTTTTCCACTTGTAATTTCTTAACATTTGTAATTTATTCATTTATGACATTAGCCCAAGTGAGTTTGGCTCAATTAAGTTTGATAAAAAACAGAAATTACAATAAGCTGCAATATGTTGAGCTCCTACAGTATGTTGAATGTTTTATCTATCATAGGGTTATTAGTTGATAGGATTTTAGGCTTGCTAGGTATTAATTTAAGTAAGGCAATAGGTCAAAAAATGTAGGGGTATTATTATATTTTATTAAATAAGCAGTTAAATGAGTTTTATAAGACATACAATTTTAAATGTTTGTTTCTTCTTAATTGTTTATATTTTGATAAATCCATCGTAGATAGGCTGAAACTGCTGTGTAAATAGATGGTGTTCCTCCTTCACATGGGCTGACTCCAAGGCTTACGATACCTATTAATGTCCATTTGTTGTCTTTTTCTAAAATGACTAATGGACCTCCACTGTCACCCTAATGCCAAAAAGAAGAAAACACTAAGTATACTGATATTTAATTTCAAGCTTTTAGAATGTATATATATTCACTACAAATTTTATATATTACAAAAAACTCTGGAATGTTGATCCTAAAACTTATATTTCTGGTTGGTGTTAAAGAGAAATAAAAAAATAAATTACCATGAAGCTGCAGTACTTATATACTATATTTAGCTGTACACTGAATACATATATATTACTATTATTGATTTCACTTGCATTGCAAACATTTGATGAAGAGAAATCTGTGCATATCTGTCCATTAGTTATCATTAAACTAAAGTTATTCAAATAAAAATTACTGCATCTATTTTGAAGCATAATTTTTACTTTAGCATATTGAAGGAATTTGTGGAGACCCGTTTCATCTGCATTAAAAGAAAATCAATTAGTTAATACATTAAATTAAGATCGTTAATTTATATTCCCAAGTTATCTTCACTTACTATCACTTGTCTTCCCCCAACCAGAAACAATTGCTGTTAAACCACTAAGTGTTCCACTATTTTGGAATTCCTGAGGCAGCCTTATAGGTTGAATGTTTTCTAAAAAATAACATCATTAATTTTGACATTAATGTATGTAACTATTGATATGGCACTAATTACTGAAACTCGACTAACCACTAAACAACTCTTCCAAATACCGCAATACTTGGCATATCGTACTGACCATCCTGATGGTAGAGCACATGCTGGCACTGCTGTCATTGTACACAAAACCCCCTGTTCCATCACCTATTCCCATTACTTACTCAAGATTTCCTGCAATCCACCGCCATTGTAATCAAAACCTTTCCGGTCACCCTAGCATCAGCATATTGCTCTGCTAACAGATCCATATCCAATGGCCAGTTCAGTTCTTTCCTTAACTTCATAGAACATCACTTCATCCTGGGTGCTGACTTAAACGCTAAGTATCAAGAATGGGGTTCAAGAATCATGAATTCTCGTGGTAGATCCTTGCTGTCTGCACTCAATTCCCAAAGTTCATCCTTCTTCCTCCCAACTCACCTATCTACTGGCCAACTTATCCTAACCGCAATCCTGATATCCTCGATTTTTTTATCCACAGTGGTTTAGGTCCCCTCAATCATTCCCTTACTCGACTTGACAAACTTTCCTCAGATCATAGTCCATTAGTACTCCAATTATATCTAGCTCTTATTCCTAAACCCTCTCTACCGTCCTTCATCAGAGGTCCAGTTAACTGGAAACTCTTTCATCCAATCATTTCCGATAAAATTGACCTCAGATTAACCTTGAAAACTCCAGAAGACCTTCACAATGCCGTACATTCCTTCACCTCCACCATTCAACAAGCAGTATGGACAGCTTCCTCTTCAAATCATTCCTCAAGATCCCCTAAGAAAAATATTTAATCCCAACACCTCATAGACCTACTCCAGACCAAACACCGTGCCAGATCATTATGGCAACGTACCAAACACCCCATCGATCGCCACTCCTACAATTATTATTGTAAACTACTAAAACAAGAATTATCATTGTTCAGTTCCCAATCTTTTGATACCTACCTTACTTCTCTCTCTGTTCACGACAATTCCCTGTGGAAAACATAAAAAAAAAATCCTAAAATCCCATTACATTTTCCACTCTCTTCGTCGATACAATGACTTCTGGGCAGCGTCTGAATAGACAAAGTTGAGGAATTCGCCAGACATCTCTCCAGTACATTCACTCCTCATCCAGGATCCTATTTAATCCATACCGCAAAAGTAGAAGAATTCATCTCTTCACCGATTCCTTACCACCTAAAGCAGTTAATCCATCAGATTAATCCATCAGATCAAACATCGCTTACAAAAACTTCCTATCCATAAATCTCCTGGATACGACCTCCTAACGCCACAAATCCTTCGACAACTTCCACCCAAAGCTATCATATTCCTTACATATATTTATAATTGCATCTTAAGAACCATCGAAACATTCCACCATCATCCTTTTCCTGAAACCTGCCAACAATACATCATTCTATAGACCAAATCCTATCAAAATTTTTTGAAAAGAATCCTACCCATAATAGATCCCATAAAATTCCTACCCATCAATTCGGATTTCGTTTCCAACATTCCACTGTCCAACAAGAACTCCGAGTTGTCGACCATATATCCTCAGCCCTAGAAAAGAAGCAATACTGTTCGGGTGCATTTCTGGACATAGCACAGCCTTTTGACCGAGTATGGCACGCTGGACTGCTCTTCAAGCTTAAATTCCATCTACCACAGTCGTTATATGTAATACTCAGTTCCTACCTCTCTGTCCGCTCCATTAGAGTGGTATTGAATTCTCCAACTGTCATTTAATTGAGGCGGGAGTTCCGCCGGACAGCGTCTTGGGTCGCATCCTTTACATTCTTTTCACCGTAGATATTCCTGCCCATCCTGATACCCTCCTAGCAACACTCGCTGATGATACCGCTATTCTTTCAACCAACTCAGGTCCTAAAACAGCGTCACTAAATCTACAAATGCACCTCTCCCTGATTGAACACTGGCGTAAGAAATGGTGCATTAAAATTAACGAATCCAAATGTAAACACTTAACCTTCACCCTTTGTCGTAAATTCTGTTCACCAGTTTATTTTAACATCATCCAGCTTTCTTTCTCAGATACAGTTCGGTACCTTGGCTTTCTCTTAGACCGACGACTAACCTGGAACCCTCATACTAGACTTAAAAGACGAACTAAACTGACGATACGGCCAACTATACCGACTACGTAACAGAAAATCTAAACTTTCCCTTGAAAACAACCTATTGATGTACAAGACAATACTGAAACCTATTTGGACTTATGGACTAGAACTGTGGAGAACAGCAACATTTTTTGACATCAAGTGCAACCATTCCTTCCAGTCAAAAGTCCTTCGAACAATAGTCGATGCTCCTTTCTATGTAACCAACAAAACTCTACATCATGATCTCAACATCCCATTTGTCCTAGACCTTATCCCAGAAAAATTCTCCAAATTTCACCAGAACCTTACTTACCAACCAAATCCTCTTGCACAATCCCTATCAAGCACCTCCCATCCCTATAATCCTCCAAGAAGGTTGAAACAGCAGTGGCCTCGCGACATTTTGTAGATTGTATATATTGGAGTTCTGGCAATGGAGAGATTCTCAACTCAAGACATGATGGCTAAAGTGTTCTCGATTAATCTCCGCTGGTTTAGTACCAGTGATGCAGTTGAGAGAGTAGCTCAGGGTTCTCCTGGAGTTTCCTCACATGATTGTAATAGTGTATATAGGTATGCATGTGTTTTTGCTTAGTTTTAATTGTCTTATTTTTAGGATATTTTATTTTATTTATTGTATATACTTTTTGATTATTATTTATTGTTATTTTGCTTCTATTTATTTTATATTTTTTGTACATAGAGTGTGAATGTTATCCTTCCTCACTATAACTAATATCCAAGAGAGAGATTAATGTAATACTCAATAAAAAAAAAAAAAAAAAAAAAAATATATATATATATAACGCAAAACATGTATGTAACAACATTATTATTAAATTCAAATAGAATTTAAATTTTTACATTAAAAGGGGAGAACTTCATTCTTGGGGGGAGAGAGAGAACATTTCTCCAAAATCAGAATAATCTCTTAAATGATGAAAGCAAAAATTAATGGATTGAACTAACTTAGCAGAGGTGTCCAGAAGAAGATCCCATGGGGCAAGTTGTGCCTTTAAAATATTTGATGAAAGCACATTTTGACGGGTTTTGGATTTTTCAGAGAAACACATTTCGATGGAGTTGAATTTTTGGAATGAAAAGTTTTAACTAGGTGACAAGGGAAGAACATGGACGACACCACAGCAAATGCAATTGTATATGATCTACATCTTTTCTAATTCTTCTTTCCCTTACACTGTTTTTAAGAACAGGAGGTTAATAAAATTTCAAGAAAAGGGGAGAGAAAGAGATTTCTGTTCCATTGACCTTTGGGAGGAGGGAATGGACACCCCTTTAGAAATGACTTTTTTTTTTTTATAAAAGTAATTTTCACTGTATAAAATAAAGAAGAGATTCATAGTTAGTAGTATAGTTACCTATGAAGGTGTAGTAGGGTTTCCAGGATTTCATTTAGAGGGGCTTCAGCTGGAAAGGTTTTTTAAAAATATAACGACATTCACTTTAGAAGGAATTAAATACCAATACGAAATGGTGTTTAAATCATCCTTAAAGACCTATAAAGTGTAATTACACGAACAATGATAATAGATTATTTTGATATATTTTTCATAAGAAATTATAATATTTTACCAATTTTTTGGGGGTGGATGGGGCTTTAATCCGAAAGTCCCCCTCCCCTATACCTGTACAATCGCCTGTGCCAAGGTGTTAAGTTCCCCTTTTTTACTGTATCTAATTCATTTAAATTTTCTTCATTAAATTATCACTATAGGAATGAAAAAAATCAGATGATTTCTTACTTAGTTTTTTATAACAGATTAACACACATACGCACCTACACACGCACGCACACACACATATACTTCAATCCAGCTTGATAAACCACTGTGCTTATAATAATTTGAAAGCAAAGAAAGATGATTAAAAATAGTCCCATCGTTCAAGAAGGTCGTTTAAGTTATCTGAGTAGATAAAATTTCGAATGTATAATTAAAAAAAAATCTAAGTAGTTATAATTTATTCCTACAAAAACATTTTTGTGCACCCCTCTAATTATGGCGAGCCCATGCAGATTTCTTTAGCTCACTGGATAAGAATCACATTGTCTTTGTGTGTACAATATTATACATGTCTCATCAAAGTGAGTTAAGAGTAAAGATTTTACATGAACCATAAGTTTGTTTCAGATTTTAATATATTAGATGTTCAACACGACTTTAATCATTTACATACAACAAGTATTGTACTCTCAAAAACATAGTCATTTCTATCAGATTTTTCCTGGTTTATCCATTTTTTTTTTTTTTTTTTTAGATTTTCGCACTTCTCCAGTTCCTCTGAACTAAGTTAAAGGGTTAAGAGTTTGTAAGTGAATTTAGTTAGTGTTGGAGAAATGCCTTTGAATGATATTTATCTTATGCTCAATTAGTTATTTTGGCGGTTCATCCCAGTTTTTTAGATATTATGCCCTTCTATAGTCCCTCTAACACTAGTTACAGGATTTTTTTTTATTTTTTTTATTTCTTTATGACATTTACAACTGTATTACATAAATACATCAAGTAAATTTGGACATAATTGATATAATGACATGAATACACTTGCTGAGTAACTACCCAATGGTAGCACTCTAAAGTTACAGGATTAAAAGTTTTTATGAGAATTGAGATTTTTCTAATAATACACACTGTGCTGGCTTAGACATTCGGCGCCCCCGGACTATGACGTCATCTTTCTCTCCCTCCTAAAAAAAAATTTTTTTATTTATTTATTTAGAAATATAACAATCTGTCACGTGGACAATAATTATGGTGATAGATGATCACATTCACACCATCTGAAAAAATTAATTTATTTTTAAGCTGTTTTATATGAGATAACATTAGAATTTTATTTCATTCAACTTTTTTCTAATATAGCTGCTTTTTTGATTGGCTAAAACTATTTATTTTAATATGTTTTTTATTTCTGATAAGTGGCTAGCGCCCTAAACATCGCCTGGCGCCCCAAACGGGGTTTCCCCCAGACCGGTGCCCCGGTGCAAATGCCCTGGTTGCCCCATCCTATGGCCGGCACACAAACATACAACGACTTACATATGTTTTACTTTTAACAATTGTTGCCCAAGACCGCTTAACTGTTGCAAGACTAAGACTGGTAAAAAAAAATCTATTTTTTAAATAAAAATTAAGGCAAAATAGTTACTACTACTTGAAAATTTTAGTTGCTACATGTAAAGAATTGGTACAACCAATATACTTTTGCATTTAACTCTTCTAATTTTTCATTCGAGCATAGCTAGGTTTTTCGTATATAAAAAATTATAGTAATATCTCTGTAATAATAAGCTAATAGGTAGCTCCAAGACTTGTGTGACTCTTGCGCAAGACCAAGATTCGTCTTGGTCTCGCGTTTGGGCAATACTACCTTTAACTCGTATATATATATATTTATATACGTTTTACTTTTACTTTTAAGATTCAGTTAGTTACCTGTTAGCCGGACTGGCGAATTCAGTCGAATAATGGCTATGTCATCGACATACCTTTGGCCTTTGTTGTCATAAATAATCATATTGCTGGGATGCACAAAGTAGGAATATCCTTTCTTGTCTAAGGAAATCAGACCTAATGACACTTGGCATAACAGTATACTGAAACAAACAATATAAATATATGCATATATATATCCAATAGAGGAATTGTAAAATCATATAAATTGATTATTCATTTATAATTTACAAATTACCTAAATTGTTCATTGTACTATGCAGCAACTACCTCTTGCAAAGACGATTCAGCAGAAGATAGAGCCCTCTTATCTACCGCAGGGAAAGGATAAGAGGATAGAATTCTGTTTAGATGAAGATGGCGTCTATACATTGGGACTATCTGTCTTCAAAGGCGGTTGATGTTCTTATTCATTATTTTTTTAACTTTCACTCATCTACATTTGTGTCGTTTTGATATTATTTAATCATTTGATGTCTCCGGACTTTACATTCGTTTTTCACATTTTTTTTTCAGATTGAAAAAAAAGTAATAGTATTAATTTTTGACACTGTACCAACCTAAGAAATGTAATGGTGACATTAAAATAGATTTACCTCAACTACAAGAAGAAACATTTCAACGTGAATCTAGAGAAACGTTACGAATGTTACTGTCTCCAGGGTGAGGATTTGAAGTTTTTCATGCTTTGATATGAATCAATCCGTAGCGATCAATTTTTAACCATTGGAAATTTTACTGCTATAATGGCGTTATTTCAAATTCTAGATACTTTTTTTTAGTTATCTCAAATACTTTAATTGCAAAGCAGAAAATAGGTTTGTCCTCAAAAACGTGGATGGGGTGGCCGAACAAGCTAACAAGTGTGGACTGCACCGCCGTGTTGCTCGGCAACCTGATATATAAGAGATTGATGAAAAATAGTCAAGAGGTCGCGTCCCGGTGATGGTGGAATCTTTTACAAATCCCCGCCCTCACCCTGACCCAGGAAAATCTTAATCAACTAGAATCTATTAAATATGTATTAGATAGTACGCTGATTTTGTTTATAACCCTTATAAAGAAACCATTAACTAACAGAATGAGGATTAAACTAAGTGACTTATTTTTGTCCACCTCTTCCTCAGCTTTTTGACATTTTTCCCGGGCCACAGAAGAGGTCGAAGGATTAATGCCAAAATTAAAAGCCTCTCGGAAGCGGGAACACGTTATCATTTTATCATGTTATCTTCAGCTTATCAGGTTGCCGAGCAGCGCGTGTTTTGGAATCCGCTTCCCCAGATGATCATGAATCGTAATTTAAATAATGAATAAGTTCAACCTTACCTGTTGACGCAGTGAGTAGCCGTTAGGATGTGGATGGCTGTGATGAGGGATCCTCCACAGCTGCTGGCGAGGAAGTTGAATCGGATGCACTCGATCCATGCCTGCCAAGGGAACTGTCCTTCTTGTGCGTCCTGCCCTCGGATTATCCTCAGATCTATGGCACAGTCGAGTTCAATGGCCTCTTATCTTTCTACTTGTTCAGTAAGGAGAATTATTAATTTCTAAAAGGATTGGATGAAGGTATGGGGATAATCAGGAAAGGCAACATATATATATATATATATATATATATATATATATATATATATATATATATATAACAATTTTCAGAAAAAAACTGCTTGATTGTGAGTATTTCAAATTTTCAAAGAATTATTACATAATTTTTATTTTAACATTCGTACATAAGTTTTGCTAAAGGTGCCCAGAAGGGTATCGTAAGTTATGCCATCATTTTAGGGGAGTATATATTTACGTGGATGTGAATTTTGGGAGGGAACCGTATTTTCGTGAGGTACCATATTTACTACAATATTTATATAATTTTACTTTTATTTGCGTTTTTTTTTTTTTTTTTTTTTTTTTTTTAAATATGATAGCAATTCATTATGAGGGAGAGAGGAGTGTGTACCATCTTTCTTGGAGAGGATCGGCACCTCTGTGTTCTGATGTAATGAAATATTTCAATAAGATTTTTGCATGAGGTGGTGAAAATTGAAACTACTTTTGCAAATAAAGCAATAATCCTTCGAATCGGATCACTATCCAACTAGATTGTATCTGCTTCAGGATTTTTTTTAATCATTCAGTTCTAGGCACAAAGCTAGTGGAGCATTTAAATGTATTTATCTTCAGGGAATTTCAGCTAACGTAAGTTTTTTAGCACGGGTTTTTATGAAATATTTAACACACACACATATATATATATATATATATATATATATATATATATATATATATATATATATATATATATATAAGTATCAAATAATTAATTGGTAATCTTCTACTGTTTCTTTGAAAATAGCCCTTCCATGATGTCATAGGGATAACTATAATTTTCATTCAATCTTCATTATTATTTTTTTTTAAAGATCAAAAATCAGATTATAAAGTTGGTAATTTTTTACCCAATGTATCTAACGATTAATTATGGGCTAATATGCTTGTCTCTTATTTAAATATTATTAAATCATTCTATTAATATCAAATTCTCGAAATCGCTAAGCATTGATCAATGAAATGTAGCGCAAATATCGTATTATCTTTAGCATTTATATTTATTTCTTTAATATGTTAATAATGAATATTTATTTTAATTTTTTTATACTTATTCTTTTTTTTATATAAATATAGGTAATACCTTTTTATATGTTAAAATTATTGTTTTTTATCATGAGCTATTACTTAAGTCATCAAGAAATAGAGGGCAGGGGTGCACATTCTATCACGCAACTGAGATCTTTGGAGCACAAGATAAGGAAGACTTCTAGGACTTGCTTGAAAGAACAATAAGCACCTGCCCAAGAGCAGATAACAAGATCATAGCAGGTGACTTTAATGCTAGGTCTAATTAATAAATATAATCGGAAGAGAAGGAGCTTACAGCTCAGCATTCGGGATGCCTAGCGTACATGAAGTGTGCAATGATAATGGGCATCGGCTGATCAATTTCTGTGAATCACAGAACATCGTTGTTGGTATTACCTTCTTCTCTCACAAAAAAATACATAAGGGTACATGGTGATCACCTGATGGAATTACTGTTTATCAGATAGACAATCTTTTGATAAGTGCCAGGCATAAGTCAGAACTTCATGATGTAAGAACATACAGAGAAGCAAACGTTGACTCTGATCATTACCTTGCCATAGAAAAAACAAGATCAAGAATTTCCAATGTAAAAAAAATAAGGGGACAAAGAAGTAAAAAGATTAATACCTACAAGCTTAAGAATCCCGAGGAATCGGAGCGATATGCGTTTAAGGTTGATAGAGAACTTAATCTTCTCCCTATGCGTGCATATGACTTAATGAAGAAATGTGGTGGGGCCTAGAAAGTTATGTTAGGAAAGCTGACGAGGAAACAATCGGGGGGGAATATTACAATATAAACCAGAAGCTAACTGTTTGATGAGAAATGCAAAAGTGTCACAGATGTCAAGAATCAGGAATATGAATCGATGTTTCAAAAGAGCCACACAAGAGCTTCGGGAGATCTCTATTGCAAAAGAAGGAAAAAGGAGAAGGAAGTGCACTGTAGGAAGAAACGTGTTTGGAAAAACAAGCTGCTTGAGGACATTGAGCAGCTCAGACATACAACAATATTATCGAAACTTCTGTCGAATAATTAATAATGAGCTAAAGATGCTTAAAATGTGCCGACGGAGTGGCGGAGGAAGCATAGTCCATCTTAAGAGTAAGAAACTGGAGGGCAGTGGCAATGAACCGAGAAGATTGGCTTGGTATTGATGTTGCGGGGAACATTGATTCATCACTGAGCGATAGTGCCGGAAAAAGAAGAAGAGGAAGAAGGTCACTTAAACCACGAACCACTGAATGTAGGAGTACAGACGACACTATTCTCACAAGCATAGAACTGGCAATGAGGAGATAAAAAAAACCAATTCGGGGAACTATTCAAACAAGATCGGGGTGGGGGGAGGAGTGGCCGAATGGGCTAACGCGTGTGCACAGCTCCGCGGATTGCCCTGAAACCAGATAATCGGAGATATGAGAGATTAAAAAGTACGAATGGTCCTGGTGCCGGAGGGGATTTTAAATTATTTGCCCTCACCCCCCCGGTCCGGGAAAATCCCATACAGCCTAAAAGGCGAGGAAGGGAAGAACAGAAAAAAAAATCAAGGTGACTAAATGGATTATCACTCTGAAATAAATCAAGGCAATGAGATTGAACCTCCTGATGAGGATGAGGTGAGTGATGATTTCGGGAAGCTTAAAAACCATAAGGCACCTGGGATCGATGACTTGCCCGCATAACTCTTTAAGAAAGTACTTTAAAAAAATCCACATTTACTAGACTGTAAAAACTATAGAGGTGTATCGCTGTTGCCTTGAGCGTATAAAATATTTCCAAACATTTTATAGATGCGACTTTTGTCGTATGCGGAGGACTTACCTGGAAAATATCAGTACGGATTCCGCAAAGGTATATCAAGTGTCAATCGAATCTTCTTATTCCGCATTATCCTGGAACGAAGTATAAGTTATATGGGATTCATATAACAGGCACAGTGTTTAGTAGAATGGTTAAGATCCTTGGTTCTGCGGATGATCTAGATATTGTAGATAGATCTCAGGCTGCAGTTCACGAGGCCTTCCTTACTCTAGAAGCAACAGCCCAACAACTAGGACTACATGTAAATGCAGCGAAATTCAAGTATATGATCTCCGAGTCTGGTACCTTGGCAGATACTTTGCAGTTTGGTTCCTATAAGTACGGTAAAGCGGATGAATTCGTCTAATTATGGTCATCGATAACTGCGGGCAATGACATTTCAAATGAAATTGAGAGAAGAACAGTCAGTGCTAACAGATGTTACTTTGGGCTAGAAAGACATTTAAAGAGCAAGCATCTGTCAAGAGCTACTAAGCTATGGTTGTATAAGACATTGATCAGGCGGGTTCTGACAAACGGATCGGAGTCATGGGTAATATTATGGAAGGATGAGCGAAGTTTATTGGATTTTGAGAGAAGAATTCTGCTGCGCATCTATAGAAATAAAAGAGTCGGTCGAATAATTCTCAGGAGGTTAATCAAGAAATATATAACATTCTTGAGGTTAACCTGACTTTGTGAAGCACATGAGACTGGGAGTATTGAGGAGGGCCTGGCCATGTAGTTCGAATGCCAGACGATAAGAACCCCAGAAAAATAATTAGCTAGGCCATTCATGGTACCTGGCGTAGAGGAAGAAGAAACCGCGTCTTAGATTAATGGCGTATCGGATGGTGCCCGGACGATCCGGGGGTTAGGGACTGGAGAGCTGCTTCCAAGCAGTGAGCGGACTGGCGGAAATTTTTGGAGGAGGGCAGGGACCAGTAATGGTCTGTCGAATGGTTCGCCAATGGAAGAAGAAGATGATTCATTATCTTTCTTACTTGCCCTCTTGGTGTCTGCTGCAGATGCGAGATCTTCTTGGGCCATCGCGGCTACCACCTGAAGGACATAAATTATTTATTAATCATTCATATCTGGCAGAGAACGAAGGACCATGATTTATTAAATTTCGGCCCATAAATTACTATAAATTGTAAATAAATTATAAAATAAACTGTATGTTGTAAAATGTACTATAAATGACTGTAAACAGGTCTCAACCTTATTATACAAATATGCAGTACTTCGGATCTACCGAGTTTTCAAATACACTGAAATATCAATAATTTTTCAGATCTCAATGTTCCAAATCTTTAAACGAAGAGGAACAGAATTAGAATTGAATTGATATCTTGAATCGTATTACAGTTAATTGTAAAATTTAATTATTAGTATTTTATGTAACACAAGAAAACCCATTACTAAAAAAAAAATAGATAAATATATACTAAATTGCTGAAACGTAAAGCTTAAAGCTTAGAGCTTTCTTCTTTCACACAAGTAAAATGAAATAGTATTTTCAACAATGGTATTGGCATGATTGGGGGGATTTTAAATTTTTTTTTTTTCAAACATAGAAAAAAATTAAAAGTTTACATTTAAGAAAATTTCATTTCATTTTCTCAAAAACGTGTGATTAACGTTAACTAATGTTTTCAGAAATTATTATTTATAGTTTTCGTCACTCTCCGTTACATTCTACAACTTTTTATTTGGTATTATTTTTTCTAAAATTCTCCGCCTTCCAACGATATATTATACGTATGCCTTCTGACTGTTATTTCCGAAGATTCATTTTCATTCACCTGGATAACAATTTTTCTTTTTTTTTCCAGTTTCCAATCATCATATTCTTTCAAACTTCATATTTAGCCATTTTTTATAGTTACTGTCAATAAAAAGGATTTATTGACTATAATTGCTTATAAGAGATTTATTATAGCTTTTAAGCTACGATAAGATCGGTTTTAATCAAATTAAGAATTCTTCCTGATTTTTTTTTTATATTTCCCAACTGGATTGAAAATACCACACTTTTACAAAGACTTTCTGGATGAGTTTTAAGTCTATGTTAATTAAGTTGAGGTTTGTTGCAGAGCAAGTTGTGATTCATCTCTAATTGGGTGAAAAGAACGTTACAATTAGAAATTGAATCAAACAAAAAAAAATGCTGAAAGTTGTCACTAATCAAAGATTATGTAATTAAGGAAAGAATTACTGATACCATTAATTTCACGCGTAGGATTTTTAATAGGGGAAGGAAAAAGAGGGCTGAAAACGGTTTTTTCGTTTTTGTTTTTTTGAGAAAATCTAAAAAATATGTGGATTATAGTAAAGATTGTAGAGTACAATATTAAAGCAATAATAATAGTTACGGAGATAACAAAGGGTGTAAATTGATGGGATTGCCATTTAAAAAAATATATATATTAAAAACCGGTGATAAATAATTTCTCTTCCAGATAGAATTGGTTTATTTAACATTTTTTTCATGCTTGAAAACTAAACTACAATCAAAAGTAAGTACATTACTAATATATGTAAACATAAATAAAGTTTCAACATCAGGTTATTTAAATTTTAATATTTTTGGGGAATAAAGAGGAAAGATTTACTTTATCAAATTTTTATTTAATGTTAATGAACATGAACATAAAAAACCAACATATTTTACAATTTCTTAAACGTGTAAAAATGTTGTATACCATTCAATAATCTCTCTTTTAATATATTTTATTTACATTTTAATATTTGAGAAGCTTTCGGTTTCCTGAATACCATATTCATTTCCATATGAAATTTTACTGGAACATGAAATTATAAACATTTTTATTTAATGTTAATGAATATAAAAAACCAACATATTTTTAAATTTTCTTAAATGACAAAAAATGTTCATAAAAAACCTCATACTTTTTGAGATATTCTCAAAGAACTAAAAAAAATTCAGTTTACTGTTCTTCTCTCCCTCCTCCCATTACATGAATCATAAAATATTGGATATGCAGATGATATCCATATGACAGTCCTTGAAGGTAATAAAGAGTAATAAAAATCAGTTTGGGCAACACACAACTTATCGCTCAACTTTGAATATAAATCATTTTCTTGCCATGTTGGGCTATTATAAAATTTTTGAATTGCATTTTAACTGAGTTAAAGCTAAAAAATCTGGTGCGCGCAACACAAAACTTTCATTTACCGCTCTACTTTGAATAAAAATTATTTTCTGGCAATGTTAGATTATTACGTAGCGTATTTTAAACAGAGCTAAAGCTTAACGCTTACAAATAACAAATCATTAAGATCATTACAATTACAAATGTCTATTTATTATATCGACGGTAGGCAATAAAAATCTTGTTCCTCCATCTGCTTTTATAAACCGTACAACTTCAGTTTATACCTTTATAAGACTGTGAATAATGGTATACATTTTGCCACTAGAAATATCACTAAAATTAATAATAAAGAATGTTGAATTTGGAGTTAGTCATTCTGTCAACTAAAAGGCTCATATATGCCTAGAGAGATTTGAAAGTACATCAGAATATTTAACCTATAAATTATTATGGATTATAGGACTATTAGTTATTAAACTGTTACTTTCCATTTTAAAGTTTACTAAAATGATATTACGAGATTTTCATTGTCTGCCATGGTTAGGTCAAAAGTTGTCACACTAATTGTAAGTGGATAATGTTGGGATTTCACGGAGAGATGGTTCATCAAATTATTTACTAATTTAATTTTCTAAAAGGTTACTTGATGTTTTTTTCGGAAAAAAAAGATCAATAGATACCTGTTATTTAAATATAATATCATCTTTAGAGTAATTAAACTTCACAAAATATATTTAAGGTTATAAACATATCAATGAAATATTTTATATTACACTTCTTTTTTTACACAAGTACAATTAAATAGTAGTGGATACTGTGGAATATCACAAAGCGGAGATTCGTCAAATTATTCAGGATTATTTCTCTAAAAAGTTATATGACAATATTTCGAAATGAACGGAGATTGATATCTAATTATTTAAATATCAAATCAGGTCTAGAACTATTAAACTACAGTAAATGTATTTAAGGTTATTAACATGTCTTATACATCCATGAAGTGATTTTATATTTTACTTTTTCTTTCATACAAGTACAATGAAATAGTTTTTTAAACAATGTCATTGCCTTGTTTAGGTGGATTTAAAATACTTTTTTCAAACTTAAAAATATTTTAAAAGTCTGCATTTAGTTAGTAAATTTCAATTAATTTCCTAGAACATATGTTCTATTAAGGACGACTTAAATATACAATGATACACCGATTTTAATCAAAATCGTTAGAGCCGTTTTTGAGAAAATTGTAAAAATGTGTTTCAGCATTGATATAAAGCGGCACTACCGGTTAGCTGATTTTAAGGAAAAAGTTGCTATTAAATCTGAGGCATATAGCTATCTTAAATACGTCTTATCAGTTTTGTACGACTTCTTGTTTTTGAGCTAGACTGCTAACATACACACACAGACCATTTTTCGGGACTTGGTGATTTGGACTCAGGGTACCCCAAAACGTGTATTTTCGTCAGATTAAAAAATTTTCACGATCGCAATACTTACCCTCACTATATATTACATATATACGTAAGTGAAAGTAAAAACATTTTTATTCAATTAATTTGATACGATAATTAACAGCCGAAAGTTAGTGAAACTTTGTTGTCGGGTGTAACTCACTACATTCTTTATAACCACTTACGATAAGAGATGGTTAGTGAAGAGACACAATTAATGATACTTCGGAGGAAGCCATTTGGAGAATTCGTTATTTAAGCTCCATTAGGCTATTTCAATGAGAATAAGAGCCAGATACGTTAATTATTAAACTCATCATTAAGCTACTTTTAGATATCGTTTTAAATAAATGTAAAATCAATCCTTAAATCGTGATTAATAAAAAATATCTGTATTTCATACCTTCATGTTTTTAATCTTTGATTGAAGAAGAAGAAAGTTAGCATTGAAATATTAGATTTTTAATAGCTTTAATAGAAAAAAAATTGATATTAATGTATTGCTTATGTAAAGAAAAGTAACAATATATCAAAATTTGTAATAGTAAAAATTATTATTACCAACTACCAACTACGAATTAGACCAGGGATCTCTAAACATTTTGGTTCGAGGGCCAAAGTTAGATATACATTTTGTCCCGCAGGCCGCACTGAGATACTCCACTAATAATCCAGTGAAATTAGGGATTCGCCCAAACATTAAAAATATAAAGATAAAACTTGTCATTATCCTTTCTATAATAACTGGTAAAATGTTTCAAAGAATCTCGCGGTTTGATGGGAAGCCGAGAAAGAAGAACAATAAACTCATAATAAAACTTGAACTTAATAAAATAATAAGTAATGTTAAATACAAAAATCTTTTTGATAAAACCAATAGTTACGGAGATATCAAAGGGAGTAAATTGATGCAATTTTCATCTTCAGAGAAAAAAAAAATTAAAAAATGCCGATACTCCAGATAAATAATTCCTCTTTGAGGTAGAATTTATTTTTTCAATATTATTTTGTTTTAATAATCTCAAAATTGTTATGTAGTCAGCATCATGATAAAGTAGCGAATGTGAACTTTTCCCACACTGCGCTTTCGTAAATTCAACGCGGTGCCGACAATATATCGATTGTTGATAGATAGATATTTTATTTGTTTTTGGGGGATTCCCCATACAAATAGAGCCTAGCTTACCTATTGTACAATAATATGGTTTTACAAATTAGATACATATCATTTAAATATAAATAAAATTTACAATATTTTACTTTTAGAATGGGTTTCACAAAACATGAATAACAATAAAAATTAACAACATAAAACGATTACTGCATAATAATAGTTGTATAAACCTGTTACTATGATAGAAACAATAAAAAATAATAATATTTATAAATATAAACAAAATATTACTTTTAAGAAAACTAAAAACAAACACTTAGTAGAACATTGTCTATGATCAACAATTTTGTGTATGCACTTTGTGTATTCCCATCATATAATAGTAAATTTTATTCAACTTATCTATACAATCGATATTAAATATGGATTCGATATCGTGGTTATCAGAAGATTCTGAAATGAAGTTTTGAAGGAATTTTTGTCAATTGTCATTATATGATGGGCAGTGAAGGAGAATGTGATGTAGACTATTGTAGATAAATTGACTGCATGATATACAAGTTTCTTGAGACTCAATCGAAAATGTTCTGTTTTTTGCATAGATTCTGATTTGTTCTGGGTTTGCAACTCTTAATTGACTAACACATCTCAATTTCTTTATACGGACTTTCAATGTAAGGGACGTTTCGGGATCGGGACCATTGTAACTGCATAGCATTCTGTATAAAGGATAGTTCGTGGAGTTTAAAGTTCTTTGTTTGTCGGCTGAGAAATAATAGTGTGCTTTTTCAAGGATGTCGTCTTTGTATCGAAGAAGTCCATTTGTGAGGTGAACAGAAAGCTCTTCTGCAAAGGCATTAAGCTCGGCTATTGCTCTAAATTGAGACACCCTATTGAAGTATATGTCAGGCTTACCCTTGTCCGTAGATTTATTATCTTTTTTATCACTTTCATGCTTAATGGTTCTCTTCCTGTTCCGAGGCGGACTATGTAGTTTTGGGTATTCTTGGGCCAACCAAACAGTTGCTTTAAAAATTTAAGTTGGACCGTTTCGATTGCCTCAAGATGATTGGGGCTCTATACTTCAGAAGCATAAAGCAATGTTGATGAGACCATGGAGTCAAATAACACTTTTTTACTTTCCCAGGAATCACTTTTCCCATTTTTTAGTATGTCTATGACTCGTGCAGATGCTACTGATGACTTCTGAGTAAAATGTTCACATGCTTGTTTACATTTTCCTGACGTTGTGAAGAGAACTCCAAAATAAGTATACTTTTTTGTATCAACCTCCCCACCGAACTGCAGCGTTTGACAAATCCTTTGTAATTCAAGCCTTCTGGAATACCATCCCTCCCAATATCCGACATGTACAATCAGTTTCCTCATTTAAATCTCTCCTTTTTAACCACCTACTCCTTACCCAACTAGATTGATCATGAAATATAGATAAGAGAACTTCTAAAGTTCCCCCAGAAATGATTGTCTTTACTTATGCTATTTGCCACTTTTGTATTATACATATCAATATGTTTTTAGTGTAATAGTTCTATTTTCTGTTTTATTCTTTTTCCAAAATCCTAATCTTAATAAGAATTGTAAATAATTAATGTTATGAATGGCCACACAGGCATTTATTCTGTAACTGTAATTTGTCCTAAAGGGACAACAGTTCCAGGATAAGAAAAAAAACCATTTTCATTCATTCATTAATATAATAAGACTTATTTGGACTTATGGAGTTGAGCTGTGGGACCCCACTAAACCATCAAATTCCTCTCGTGTCCAATCTTTACAATCCAAAATCCTTTTTAAAATTCTCAATGCTTCTTACTTTGTCACAAATAAAACAATCTGTAAAGACCTTAATGTTCCATATGTTTCCGATTTGACCCAATCCAGATACTTATCCTTCCATAATAAACTCCATAACCATCCGAATCCTCTTGTTTATAACCTTGCTTCCTCTTCAATTCCTGATAACCCTCCGATGCGTCTGAAAAGAAGATGGCCTCGTGATCTCCTCATGTAGACATATTATTAGAGTACTACCAATGGGTAGTTTCTCAACAAGCGTTTTCATGTGATTATATTCCTCTGTACACATTTACTTGATGTATTTATACTAATACAGTCGTAAATATCATACTAAAAAATTAAATTAAAAAAAATGTGGGGAAAGGATGTTTTCCTCCCAATTTACTGGAACTATAACTCACACAGGCCATGGCTTACGAAGAAAAATTTATCTTGTTCTATAGATGACGCTTCAGTTGTCAAATGAGCTTTCTAAGAGAAACAACCCATGTAATAATAGTTGTAGTAGTCTCCTGTTTGCTTGATTTTCTAAATTTCATATTTCTTAGAAGCATATTTTCTAGAGCTGATTTTTTGGAGAACAGAACACTAATGGATAATCGAGTAAATGTCATCCTTTGCCAGTCCCAATGCTAGAACTTCGGATAAACTTATTTCTATGAAAACATATTCGGATTCCAAAAGCACATTCAAACAAGAAGAAACCCTTTCAAAATTGTGTATATTGAAAAACCAATAAAAATATCAATAAAAGTGCCGAAGATCTTAATACCTACCACTAATATTATTATTATTTTTTTTTTTTTACTGTTTTGCAACTATCTTCTTACAACTATCTTACAACTATAATATCTTTCCCATTATGAAACTTTGAACACAGAGAATTTGGGCATTCAATCAGTGGTTTTTGAAGTAACTAAAAATAATTGAAAAACCTTCTGACGGCATCAGTGATTTGTTTTAGTTTGTTATTTGAGAAGTACTCATTCATTGGAAATGCTAAATTTATTGTACAATATTCTATATATTACATATTCAGGTAAGCAGAAGTAAAAAGCAATGCATTAATTTAAAAAGTTCTAAACGATATCATAAAGGAAGGAGATTGTCCGGGGTGGCGGTCATAAATAGTTTCGACCCTACTTTGCAGGTCTTCTTCAGGGAGGTGTGTTCAGCTTCAAGTTTCACTTAGAACTGAATCTATCGTCCGTCAAGCCCTAATGAGGGCCAAAACTCAACCCATTCAACCCATAGTTAAAAAAAAAAAAAAAATTGAAGAGAGCACATATGCCTTTACAGAAATGTAAGATGGAAACAAGTAAATGCAGTGTATTATTAAAACGAAGAATTAATTTCCACTCAAAATAACACACAGCAACCATTTGCTAAAAATGGTCCGCCTTTGATGGTTTTTTTTCGAAGAGAATTTAAGGTTATAATCGACCATAAATTGTATACTTTTTGAGTCATGCACAAATAAAGTTCAATTTCTTCATATCCTTTTTCATGAAATGTTTTATTATTATTTATTCCACCTGAAGAAGAAGAAAATCTTCAAAATGACAGCTCATTCATTGAATTTGATGAATAATTAACGAAGATATGGCATACCGACAAAAATACCTTTGAGAGATAACATATATAGGTGATATTCAATTCTATTGTAACTGTGAATTGAATAATCATATTAATTTCAGATTATTCAGAAAGTATTTCCCATGACTTATTATTATGGCTATTTCATTGGTTTCACATGAATTACGTATTGCAAAATATTCATGAATTTGTGTTTAGTGTATGAAAAAAACAAACTGAAGCTCTCAAAATAATTTCAAATAATACATTTTACCAAAAAAAACTTACTAAGACTGTCAACAGCACGACGCTGGAAGCCATTGCACAAGTGAATAATACTGCAAGCGACACACCAGCTCGCCTTCCACCGAACTGACTGGTAAATGGATTGATAAAGTGATAAGATATGAATTAAGATATTGAGCAATATTTCGCTCCTAGCTGTATTTGCCGAAGGATTAGCCGTTACATCTCTTTGCCTTTTAAAACGATACGATGTCTCTAATAATCTTCAGAGAAAAACACACAGTAATCATTACGTAGAAGTGATAGAATCAATTTTTGTATCATATAATATCTAGTGAACTATTTCCTTGAATATTTTGAGACTTAGATAATCAGGATCGTGCCAGAAATATAAATGCCAAGTCACGTATTAAGTTATTGATACAATTAATAACCAAACTAATTTCAGTAGATAATTCTCATTAATAATTTCTAATATAATTGCAAAGCTGCTAATTAATCCTGAGCAGTAAACAAATAAATAACGTATACTAATTTGTAGAAATAAATGATTTATTATTTCTCAAAAGACCCAGCAACTTCGGAAAATTCTATAGTTCAAGAATAATCCACATCATTCAAGATTGCCCTTAATTTGAAATCAGGAAAAAATAGAAAATGGCTTTGTGCCTAAAAACAAAAAAAACAAACAAAAAAAAACGACAGGATGAAAAACATATTTTAATTTTTAAAAATAATAAAATTTTATATCAGAGTATAAGTAAAAGGTGTTACCAGAGACCTTGATAATTCTTAAAAGAATAACTTTTCATTAAGGTATCCTTCAAAAGAACAGTTTTCTAAATATTTTTTTTTTTTACATTGATAAAAAATAGAACATGATTTATAATTATTTACTATTCTTAGAATTGAGCTTATTTCAATTAATTTTTTTTCGATAATTATGATATTATGTAGTTAAATTTCTAGATATATTTCACCTCTGCAAAATCAAACATTGTTTATCGTGCTGAGATTTTCAGTCAAATTGACGAACAAATGGATACTCGATCTTGTTTATGATGTTGTATTTTTTTTTTGTTGTTTGCTGATCTTGTCTTTTTAACGTAAACAATCGAAATAATGGAATATTTCCGAAAAAAAAAGTTTTCGTCTAACATATAAGCTACCGGAATTAGTGTTTTAAAAACAAGCATTGAGCTCCGATTCGAATCGTGAAGACTCGGCTGTCGAGCCTTTGGACCTCGAGCTGAAGACTTAAAGTTGGAGTCTGGATGAATTTATCTTAAGAAAAAAAATAATGAACACTTAAAATTATTGAAAACTTTAATTATTGTAGCTGTGTACATTTTGGTAAAAAAAACATTTTTTTTTATTTGTTGTAACAATATTTAACAATATATTTATGAAATATAATGTGAATATATTATTTTTCTTTTGGTAGTAATGTGAATATATTTCCAAATCATAATGTGAATAAATAGATTAAAAAAACAAGTAAGGCTCGAACCTCGAACGCCGAGCTCTTAAGACTGAGTCTAGAAAGCTCGGGCCTTTTGGGCTCAAGTCTTATAGCCTTCTAATCGAGCTCTTTTACAACACTAACTGAAAGTATTTAATTACATGTTAAAACAAAGATTCTGATATTAAAGGTAGTGAGAGCGGGATTAAAAGTCAACCAGAGAAGGTTGTTCCAAGTGAGATAGCTCCAAAACGAAAATAGATAAAATTTTTTTTTTTTTTTTTATTTCTTTATGACATTTACAACTGTATTACATAAATACATCAAGTAAATTTGGACATAATTGATATAATGACATGAATACACTTGCTGAGTAACTACCCAATGGTAGCACTCTAATGATATAACTATATTAGGAGATCACGGGGCCATCTTCTTTTCAGACGCCTCGGAGGGTTATCAGGAATTGAAGAGGAAGCAAGGTTAGAAACGAGAGGGTTGGGATGATTCTGAAGTTTATTATGGAAGGATAGGTATCTGGATTGGGCCAGATCTGAAACATAAGGAACATTAAGATCTTTATGGATAATTTTATTAGTGACAAAGTAAGGAGCATTGAGGATTTTACGAAGGATTTTGGATTGTAAGGATTGGATGCGAGAGGAATTCGATGGTTTAGTGGAGCCCCATAGCTCAACTCCGTAAGTCCAAATAGGTCTTATTATAGTCAAGTATATAAGTCTTTTGTAATTAATGGGAAGTTTAGAGCGTTTGTCTAGTAAGTGCTGAAGTAATCGGAAACGTCGAGCGGTTTCTTGTCGTTTCAGTCTAGTATGAGGATTCCAAGTTAGTCGTTTGTCCAGGTGGAGTCCTAGGTATCGGATTTGCTCAACAGGGATAAGTGGAGTATTGTTAAAGGAAACTGTAGGACAGGAAGTCGTTGGTTTACGACGAAGGGTAAATGTAATTTGGTGGGATTTATTGGATTTTATTTTAATTCTCCAGTTTTGACACCATTGTTCTAGATTTATGATGTGTGATTGAAGCATTTGGGATGCAATTGCTGGGTCATTGTTTACTGATAGGATACATGTGTCATCGGCATATGTGGTGATGACAGTGTTGGGACAGGTAGGGATGTCAGCTGTATAAACTGTATAGAGGATAGGACCTAGGATACTACCTTGAGGAACACCAGCAGACTGGGAAAAAAGGGATGAATAGGCGTTATTGTGATTTACTTTAAAGTATCTATCAGTAAGGTAGGAACGGATAATGAGGAAGTATGTAGGTGGTAGGAATTTTCGGAGTTTGTACAGCAGTCCCGGGTGCCAAACTCTATCAAACGCCTGTTCAACGTCGAGAAAGACTCCCGTACAGTACATTCCGCGCTCCAATGTAGAGGAGACTACGTCTACCACACGATGACATTGCTGTATAGTGGAATGGGAAGTTCGGAAACCAAATTGGTGATCTGGGATTATGTGTTTAGAATTTAGGATAGGGTACAGGCGTTTTAAGATGAGTTTTTCTAGGATTTTGCCCATGATGGGTAAAAGAGAGATAGGACGGTAAGAGGATGGGTATTCTGGTGGTTTTTTGGGTTTGTGGATCATTTTAACAATAGATCGTTTCCAAAGATCAGGAAAATATGTAGAACGGAGTACAGCATTATATATATAAGTAAGGAATAGGATGGCTTTTCGAGGAAGAAGTTTTAGGATCTGGGATGTAATTAGGTCATGTCCAGGAGCTTTACGGGAAGGTAATTTTTGAATGATGTTGGATATTTCTATGGGATGAAATGCTTTGGGTGGCAGAGACATTTGGAGAGGAATATCCAGTTCTGCTTCAATACAATTGATGTGAGTTGAATTAAGGATATCGGGATGTGGATTAAAAGTTTGGAAAAGATGTTTTCCAAATAGTTGGGCTTTTTCTTCGTCGGATTTGGACCAGGTTTGGGAATCAGTAAGTAGTGGGTGATTAAAGTCTTGAAACTTAAGAAGTTTTTTGGTGGTCATCCATAATGATTTGTCAGTGGTTGTAAGTTTTTCAGTAAAATTTAGTAAGTTTTGAATTTTGTATTTTCTAATTTCTGATTTCAGTTTGTTAGTCAGTTGTGTGTAATGCGATTTATCTGTTGGGTATCTAGTCCTATGCCACTTCGATCTTGCTCTGCGTTTTTCCTGTAATAAGATGCGAATATGCTGTGGCAAGTTAGTATTTTGTGGGAAGTTAATCTTATTGATAAAGGTGTTATTATTTATACTGTCTGTTATTGATGATGTCAGTTTTTCTATGGCACCATTAATGTCTTCTTTTGTTTTTAGCGGGATTTTGAGGTCTAGTTTGTTTTCCAAATCATCACGAAATTTGTCCCAGTTTACTCGTCCAGTGATCAGTTTAGGAAGTGATGGTTTAGGAGCAAAGTCAGAATGTAGTGAAAGCAGAACTGGACTATGGTCTGAAGAAAGGTCATCCAGGGATTTGATTATAGTTTGGGAGGAGGAAATCTGGGAGGTGATAAATATGTCCAGGATATCGGGACGTTTTTTGAGGGATGTTGGAAAATAAGTAGGATTCATGGGCGAGAGGATGGAATAATTGTTGGAAGAAGAAACTTGTGAAAGGGTATTACCACGGGAGTTGGATGATCGACAACCCCATCGTTGGTGTTTAGCATTGTAGTCTCCTCCAGCAATAAAGCGCGATCCGAGGGATTGTAAAAAGGATTCAAGTAGGCTGTACGAGAGGGAATTGCCAGGAGGACAGTATACAGCTGAAAGAGTTAGACGGAAAGGACGAGCTGAGAGGATTACAGAAGTTGACTGAATGGCATCTGTTGGAATAGAAGGAATAAGGGAATGGGGTAAAGATTTGTGGATAAGGATGCAAGAACCGGCGTGTGCAGTGTTGTCTGGGTGGTCAGATCTATAGGTGATGTAGTCACGTATGTAGAAATGTGTCCGTTGGGTGAAGTGAGTTTCTGTTAGGAGGGCAATGTCAATATAATTGTCATGGAGAAATATGTCTAGTTCGTCTCGGTGGTTTTGCAGTCCATTAGCGTTCCATAAGAGAATAGCTAGGGACTTTGAGTTCATCGAGGGAAGCTAAGCGGGATTTCAGAAAGGAGTCTGGTTAGAAGGGTTATGAGTGGTTTGATAGTCTGTTGAAGATCTATCAGGAATGATGATAAGATAGTGTTGATGTCGAATGGTGTTTGGCTGGAAAATGGGTTTGGATCAGGAGGTTGTGATGGGTAGGTTATGCGACTAGGAATGTTGGGTGGGGGATGGGCCCGTCGTGGGGTACGAGGAGGAGGAGGATCTAAATTCTGTTGGACTTGTGGAGGGGGGTTCATCCTGGGATTAGGAACGAATGGAGCTGGATGTGGATGCTCTGGCGGGAGTTTGACTCTTAAGGGTAAATGATGAGGAGGGATTTGCTGGCGAGGAGGTTGAGGCTGAGTATTAGGGATTTTGGGCTTGGATTGGAAGGCCTGAGGCGCCTGACGTTGAGGTTGCTTCTTACTGGTGGAAGACTGGGAGTGAGAATTTCTGAGATTCTGGTGAGGTGAGTCCTTAGCTGTAGAGATGGATGGTTGTTGTTGGATGACGAGGGAAGGTGAAGTCGGCAATGCTGGGAAAATATCCTGATTTTCAATTTCAGGTGGTTCAGTGTAAGTTTTCTGAGCAGATCCAAGATTTTTCACCGCTGAGTTTCGTGATCT